GACAACTGCATCAAGAAGTAATTACACAAAGAGTACCTACTTATCAATTCTGGTCAAAGATGAAGTGTCAATCTCCTGGTTGTGATGTTTTTCTTCCTTCTATTAGAGAACAGTTGATGGATAAAACAGAATGCTTTTCTATTTTATCAATCTCTTGCCAATGACATATTAAGAAACATTTGAGGGACAAACATCCTCTAAAAGAGTATCTAAAGTATTTTAATTTGACTTATCATTTTATCACTTACAATCCTAAAGTTACAAATTAAAATTGGTGACTTATATCAAGCTCTGAGCATTTTTCTTTGATCACTTATGTAACCATGAACACTTCCTCCTTTACCTCATGTTTCCCCACAGACCGTCCAAACTGAGATCTAAACCAAGTCCAGTGGCTGCTGTCCTTGAACCTGGTGAGTTCAACTGAATACCAAGTATTCAATTTAACAAAGGAGTTGATTTAAACAGACAAGGAGCAGGAAACTCAGAGCTGAAGGTAAAACCAGCTCTTGATGTGCCCCATTGTTCCTTGGCATACTAAATGGTCATCCCATTAGCTGACCTCCTATCTCATCTGAACTAAATACCAAAGCTGAATGCATCTCTTTAAGGCACATGTAGCCTCATCCTTGAATTTCCAGATTTGTATCACCATTGTTCTTTCTCATTTCTTTTCTAAAGTGGCAGCATTTCTAAGAGTCACCAAAGAAAAACAGGTTTCATTTGGAGGAGGCAGTTGGGAGACTCGTATAGCCTCCTCTGTTGTGCAGAAAAGAATCTCTGGAGCTTATATTTAGCAAATATATAATCTCTTAACATTAACACTATCCTATGAATGAAGAAACTAGATTAACAAGTAAAGCTTAAAGAGGAAAAACAAAAACAAAAACAAAAAAAAAAACCCTACCAAAATAACAGGGAAGCCAAACTTAACAGTTCTTCATGTTATCACTGCACAACTATAGGCTCTCAATACTAGTCACAAGTCAACTTTAGAAATTACCTGTAAAGATGAACTCTCCTTCTGCCTCTAATTTTGGCATTGACCCTAATACTTAACTTCCATCCGAACAACTCCTTTTCTTCTTTTCTAAACCTTCAGACTACAGACCATATCCATACTCAACCAGAACTAGGCTATGAAAAAAAGTAAAACTCCTGTTTTGGGGGAGAAAACTTTCAGTTTAGTGGAATTACAAGGAATACTTTAACTTAATATGTATTTCATGTGGTCCATTTGAAAACAGCTTTTTTCTTTTTTTTTTTTTTAAGATTTTATTTATTTGACAGAGAGATACACAGCGGGAGAGGGAACACAAGCAGGGGGAGTGGGAGAGGGAGAAGCAGGCTTCCTAATGCGGGCTCGATCCCAGAATCCTGGGATCATGACCTGAACTTAAGGCAGATGCTTTACGACTGAGATACCCAGGCACCCCGTTTTCCCCTTTTTAAAGGTACAACTGAACTCAGCTTTTCTACATTGAGGCAAAACTTCCAACTGCCTATTGGCAAGTAAGCTGGGCTTTATTTAATACGATCTAATGAGGTATTTTTTTTTTTCATCTTAAATACGGCATGCCATCATAATAGTGGATGTTCTCCTACCTTAGAAGTAGGTCTGCTTGGGATGCCTGGGTGGCTCAGTTGGTTAAGCAGCTGCCTTCGGCTCAGGTCATGATCCCAGCGTCCTGGGATCGAGTCCCACATCGGGCTCCTTGCTCGTCAGGGAACCTGCTTCTCCCTCTGCCTCTGCCTGCCATTCTGTCTGCCTGTGCTTGCTCTCTCTCCCTTTCTCTCTCTGACAAATAAATAAATAAAATCTTAAAAAAAAAAAAAGTAGGTCTGCTAAAAAAAAAAAAATTAAAATTAAAAGAATTTAAAAATTAAAAAAAAAAAAAAAAGTAGTAGGTCTACTTTCCTTAACTAAACTGACCTGACAGTCACCTCAAGGATGAGGTGGAGAAGTTCAGGGAAGCCATCATAGAACATATTTGCAGATTACAAAGGGATTACAGTTTCCCCTGCTGAGCAGGAAGCCTGATGCAAGGTTTCAACCTAGGACTCTGGGATTATGACCTGAGCTGTAGGCAGCTGCCTAATGACTGCGTCACCCAGGCACCATGAAAACAGTCGTCTTTAAGGGAGACTTACCTTCAGGTAAGTTCAATTGCACATCACCACTGTTACTCATGCCCTTTCCAGGCCAGTTATTTTTTACCCTGAAGAATGACAGAAGAGGAGACAAAAACCCTGAAGCACCATCTCTTCGACTGGCAGCCTCATTCACAACAGAATAGAATCCTTCAGGTTAAACAACAAGATGGCAAAGTTACTTGGAAACTGGGCCATCTAAAACTACCTTTGTTAATGGTTTTAAGATTTTGAGGGGTGCCTGGGTGGCTCCAATGTTTAAGCTTCTGCCTTTCACTTAAGTCAAGATCTCAAGGTTGTGGAATAGAACTCCATGCCCAGCTCAGTGGGGAGCCTGCTTCTCCCTTTCCCTCTGCCCATCCCCCTGCTTGTGCTCTAATCAATAAATTTTTTTAACAGATTTTATTTATTTGGGGTGCCTGGGTGGCTCAGTGGGTTAAGCCTCTGCCTTCAGCTCAGGTCATGTTCTCAGGGTCCTGGAATCGAGCCCTGCATTGGGCTCTCTGTTCAACGGGGAGCCTGCTTTCCCCTCTCTCTGCCTGCCTTTCTGCCTACTTGTGATCTCTGTCAAATAAATAAAATATTAAAAAAAAAAAAAAGGATTTTATTTATTTGAGAGAGTGAGAGAGAGAGAGCAAGAGAGGAGGGAAGGGCAGAGGGAGAAGCAGGGATCCCGACACGGGGCGCAATCCAGAGACTCCAGGATCATGACCTGAGCTTGAGGCAGAGGCTTAACAGATTGAGCCACTCAGGCGCCCCAATAAAGAAGAAAAAAAAAGACATTCTAGATCTTGAAGACTTAGCATGAAAAAAGGAATTTAAAAAAAGAAAAGATGTTGAGAGCAAGAGAGAGCAAACATGAGCATGAGCACAAGTGGTCGGGGGTGGCCAGAAAAAGGGAGAAAGAGAAGCAGAGAAGCAGAGAAAGGGGAGAAAGAGAAGCAGACTCCCTCCTGCGGAGCAGGGAGCCTGATGTGGGGCTCCATCCCAGGACCCTGGACCCTGACCTGAGATGAAGGCAGATGCTTAACCGACTGAGCCACCTAGACACCTCCAGGCTAATTTTTCTTAAAAATGTTTTTGAGCAGCTAAAAAGCATTTTTGTCAGTATGTGCAGGCTTGTGACCTGTACGTAAGTTAGCACCACACCAGGAAACAACTGAAAAGGAAATTAAGAATTCTATTCTCAGTCACATCAAGAATAAAATACTTAGAATTTAATAATAAAAAGTGCAAAACTGATACTCGAAAAGTACAGAACATTGTTGGGAGCAATCAAAGACGACCTCAGTCTAGGGAAAAACTTCCATGCTCATGGATTACAAGATTTAACATTGTTAAAATGCCAATACTTCCCAAACTTATCTACAGATTCAAAACAATCCTGATCATCCAGTCCCAGCTGGCTTCCTCAGACAGTAAGCACTAACCACTAAGAAAAGATGATTTACAAGAATGAGAAGGGGCACCTGGGGGCTCAGTCGGTTAAGCATCTACCTTCAGGCTCAGGTCATGATCCCAGGGTCCTGGGATTGAGTCCTGCATCAGGCTCCCTGCTTCTCCCTCTCCCTCCCAGCTCTCCCTGCTTGTGTGCTCTCTTTCTCTGTGTCACATAAAGAAAATCTTTGAAAGAAAAAAAAAAAAAAAAAAAAAAAGAATGAAGAGTATGGCCTGCCTGGTTGGCTCATTTGGAAGAGCAAGTGACTCTGGATCTTACAGTTCTGAGTTCAAGCCCCAGGTTAGGCGAAGAGGCTACTCAAGTAAAAAAACCTTAAAAAAAATTAACAGTACATCTTGCATTTAGGAGTTACTTTATAGATTAGGGTGTTATGAACCTGTAACAAACAACACTGCATTAGTCCTAACTCTGGCCTCTAAGACTCTCCCAAGGTAGGATTTATTGAAAACTCGCATGTAAACCCTGATATACAAATCAGGCCTGTTCTGTAATGTAACCTAATCACTGCCAGGTTCCTTTAATGGCAACACTCCCAAATCCACCTGGAAAAAATTTGTGGGGGCGGAGTGATGGGAGCGGAGGGAAATCTGCAAAAACAAACAAAAATGAAAAGAGGAAAAAAATGTTCCCTGACTTCCTTCCGTAGGGTCAGAGGTTTTAAATACATAAAGGAGAAAATATTCAAAAAATCTTCTTGTAAAAATCTGCCAGGCAATTTCTATTAAATAAATGGGACAAATGTTACTTTGTTTGATGTGAGCCAAGCTATTTCTACATACCACCTGAAGAGCTGAATTAGCCTATCACACTAATATAATAGGTTACCTGCTTCCAGTCCCAGTAAATGTCCTTCACCAGGTTTTAGGTAGAAAAGCTAACCTCTCTTAACTAAAAAGTTATGCCAAGTCTAGTTTACAGATTATACTTCTTCTCCCTCCCCAAACACCATTTAAAAGCAATCTTTAAAAAGGAAAAAAAAAAAAAAAAAAAGCACACACATGGTCAATTAATGCCACTGAGAGGGATTTATTCTTCCATTAAATAAAACAATAGCTCTCTGAACTGTTCATTTAGAGCTGCAATTCCAACCAAGATTTACATTAAGATTTTTTTTCTTATATCAAAAACAAGACTCCAGTGCAAAGGAAAAGAAAATCGCTCAGGAACAAAAATTTAAAGACCTCCAAAGAAAGTTCTTTTACATTTGAAAATAAAGGCAGATGTTACTACTGTACACTGATGGAGGCCCCAGGATGTGCTCACAACATCCTTACGCATCACAGAGCGGGTTATAGCCATTTGACACAGCGCTCTCCCTTGAAGGCACAGAGAGACACACAGTGTGTCCTTTGCAGAAGAGGCTCAAGGTTTTAGCTTACAGAACTGTATGTTAACGACAGGTGCACTGAGTGGCTATCATGTCTTCATATTCTTTGTAAGCGATTGAGCCATCTGGCTCAATGGTCAGAACACTGAGAGGGCTGTATTTAGCAGGAACACATGACGGTCTTGGCACTGAGGAGTCGAGCTTCTCATGGATGATGTTTTGCACCATGGTGTGAACTGGCGAGCCATACCGATATCCAACTGCCCTGGGGCACTCCCCTTTGCAGTATCGAGGGTTGTATCTGTGCGGGGCCACGATCCAGTTGTCCCACTTCAGCTGGCTGAAGCTAAGCCTGAAGTCATGGAGCTCGCACTCGTGTTGGGGAAAAAGAAACTGTTTAAAGTACTCACTCAGATTCAAAGAAGCTGGAACCAGAGGCTTGTTCAATGCCAAGCTGACAGTTTCCCGACCTCTCCGGTGACGGGAAGATCTTACACCCTCTGCCGACCCTTCTCCCTTGGAGCAGACAGACAGACCACCGTTCTGGTCAGCACGCTGTGAAGGCCTCCGTTGGTAGCGAAGGGAATACCACCCATGATAAGCCTGAGCACTTGTGTCATTCAGATATAAAAGCAGTGAGGGGGGCACCAGAAGAGTCATGTTAAATGGCTTGTCCCAGGCTGAAGAATCCTGCCGCTGGCCTCTCTCGCAGGTTAAATTGACAGACATGTGAATACTTCTCTTGTTGGAGGCCACTAGAGGCCGAAGAGGAGTGGTCACATCAACCTCAAACCATCTGTATTTCTTTTTACTTTCAAACTGTAAGTTGAAGTTAAATGAGGACTGAGCTCTACGGGGGGTCCTGCTAGAAAACTCTGGCTCTTTGATCACCAGGTTGCACACACATTTAACAGCAGAGGGAAAAGAAATGGAGTTGCTGAAAGTATAGAGCAAGACTGACTTCAGTAAGTTTTCAACGGCAGTAACACGATCCAGGTTAAACAGCAGATCCAATGATGGAACAGATCCTGAGAAGAAAAACAACCCACCAGCAGTACTTTAATACAAAAACCGGACAGCAAGTCATATCAAGGCATGTGTCCTTCATCATGCTTTTTCTCCCTTCTCTTTCCCCACTTCCTCCAGCCTTAAGAAAGGGAGTTGGGTGGGGGGGGGGGGGTCAGTTTTAGAGAAAATACAGGGCACAGACATCATAACTAACTGCCAGCGAGTATGACTGGCTATTTTATCACCAGAAATTCACAACAGTTTTGGTGGTGAACAAAAACAATGGAGAATCATTACATTTCCCAATCTCTGGTTTCCCAAGCTCAGCCATTGGCTCCAAACAGCTAGTAAATTCTATTTTTCTCTTGGAGAGTCTCTAGAGAGGTAACTGTAATAAACACATTTACCAGCCTTGTTAAGAAAACTTTCTAAGACCTAATGAACAGAGTCAATGAAGAACTTAATGGTCTAATTTGGAACACTTGAGATTAACAACAAATGGAAGCTTTAAAACCACTCTAGTAGAATAAGACCTCAAGGAAGATGGGAAGGCTTTAAACAGCCACAATTGACCCACTAAGTTAGAATGGTTTGGTCATGAGCTGGCGAATCCAGGTTTGTTTGTTTTAAAGCACCGCTCCTTTCTCTCACACACACAGGACTTCAAAGGTGCTGGGTCAGATTGATGACTAACACTTTGTTCTTGGGAGGACCTACTGTTACAAATGCAGTCTTCCGCTTTCCTCAAACAGAAAGCAACAAACAAGGGGAAACATCCTATTTAACACAATATACCAGTAGCTAGGAGACGTTTTAGACATATTTCCAGGTCAGCATGGATAGAATGAGAATAAGAAAACAGAAGTTAAAATACCTGGTTTCCAGTCTTGATTTTGTGACCTTGGAGAAGATGCTGACCTCCAGCAACACTCTGCTCAGTCTTTAGAGCCAGTAAGTCTCTTCTAGCTCTAAAGTTCTACCATATGGGGGCGCCTGTGTGGCTCAGTTGGTTAAGCGCCTGCCTTCAGCTCAGGTCATGATCCAGGAGTGTCAGGATCAAGTCCCTCAGTGGGGAGCCTGCTTCTCCCTCTGACTCTCTCCCCTGTCATGTTCTCTCTCTCTCTCTCTCTCCCCTTCTCTCAAATACATAAAATATCAAAAAAAGATAAACTTCTACCATATGAGCCCACATTAATCCATGAGGGCATGAAAAAGAAACAGTAAGGTCAACTACCAGATTTGTTTCAGTGTGGATACTGAGTATCACGCAAAATAAAAAGTATTCATGCAAAATAAGAAGTAATTCAAGGAGCAAGGCCCAGCTCCATTCTGTAACTGAAATACAGACAACTGTATCATCTTCCCACCACCCATTAACGAATCTGCTTCTACATACCTGTTGCCTGGTCCCCAGGAGCCTGCTTGCGCTGGGCACAGGATGTGAAGAGCCGAACAGTGTTGTAGAAAGGACTTCTGTTGGATTTAGGGATTCCCTCCTTGGTTGCATATGCCTTATAGAGCCTCTTCATGTAGCGCAAAGCTCTGGAGTCTGGCTGCAGCTTAGGGGTGCCACCTTGCCCATCATACAGAACCTTGAAAACAGGAGAAAGGAAGTCAGATCTGTCTCCTTCATCTAGACGCTGTAGCAAGGACCAAGGCTCAGCCTCAGACTTCAACTCAGCACCAGCTGCAATCTGAGTTTCTCCTCTAGAAGCCTGAGAACCAAGCCTAGTAGGAAAACACAGCCAGGAAAAGCAGGAAAACCAAAGGAAGAAGTTGCTGAGAAGCGCCATGGCCTAGAAGAACTAGCAAGGGATACATTTCCCCCTACCAGTCTTCTTGCTAAAAAACCAGGAAGGGCCTAGGTCAGTCTTTTAAATAAATTTTAGGTGTGTAGGTAGGCTAGGGTCACTTCTGTAATCAGACCTCAAGGATGCCTAGCTGAAGATAATTTTTGTCAGCTGTGCATCTAACTGCTGATTAACGTCTTATTTATCCAATTTGTCCTCATTAGATATGGATGCATTCTGGTTATTTCTCTTTCTTCTCCCCCCCCTTTTATTTTTAAAGGTTTTATTTATTTATTTGACAGAGATCACAAGTAGGCAGAAAGGCAGGCAGAGAGAGAGAGGGAGGCAGGCTTCCTGCTGAGCAGAGAGCCCAATGTGGGGCTCAATCCCAGGACCCTGGACCATGACCTGAGCCGAAGGCAGAGGCTTTAACCCACTGAGACACCCAGGCAACCACCACCCCCCTTTAAAGAGGGATTTATTTAAAACTCTTTAAGTTATTGTTACGCCAATGGACTGGTTATGCAAGCCAAAAGGTCAAGAGAATTGAGAAATGATCTCAAAATCACCCATTTTTTGAGATTAAGATTCTTAAAATGTTCCTTAGGCGCTTGCTGAAACTTCCAAAGCAAATGGGAAAGCTATTCATGATAATAGGAAGATCTGTTGATACGCAGTGTTTTGGATTCACTCTTCCTCTTCTTTCATCCTCCTCACCTCTCTGGCTTCCAGGTGCTTAGAATAATTACTTGTTGCATGCTTATTTGGAGAGTGAGAAAAAGTCACAATTGGCATTGAAATTCCAGGGAGCAGACAACTGTTGGGTTGCCCAGTTCTCAGGGAGTTTCCTATAGAATATGTACTTGGAATACTGGAATATTCTTTAAAAAGGACATCGCCTTGAACCTTGACTCATGTTTAAATATAATACTTGATCCTTTGCTTTGGTCTGCACATTTATCTGTTTATATTTTGGCTGAAAGGTTTAGAGATGTTTGCAGGGTTTCACAGTTTTTTAAAAATTAATTTAATTCGCTAGGGTGTTCTTGTCCTTGGTATAGGACTTATGTTCTTGGAGCTGAGACAAAGCTAGAGATGATGTTTTAGGAAAACGAGGCGCACCATGAAAGACTGAAATGAGGGCATATCCAGTGCACCCGTGAGGAGACCATGCTGGAAGGAAGTCAACCCACACTCATGGTACAAGATTCAGAAGCAGTCAGTGCAGCACCTACGTTGATGAAACTGAGGGACGTTCTGCACATTTTAAGCTCACTGCTTGCCAAGACTCTCTGGCCCCAGGCTAGGAGGCAGGGTTCCATAAAACACACGCAGACTGTTGAATGACAGCTTACTCCAACATCACATATGGCTGGCAATTCCATGAACAAAAACATTTACAGACGCTCTGCGTCAGGCAGAAAGGCCAGGCCCGCAGCACCCTTCCGTAGAAAGTACTTTCGGAAACGCCGAGAACGCCCCCGCGGCAGTGAAGCGTGGGCGGCAGACACGCCCCAGCCGGCACCGCAGCCTGCCCCCGGCTAGACCTGGGTGGGAGGTGGTGGCAAGCAGGCGAATATGGAGGTCGCCTCGTTTCTCCTACCGCCACCCACGGCCGGTTATCATGTTTGCCCTTTCCTTGGGAACTCTTCCTGGGGCGCAACTTGAGGAAACGCTTTTATTCTACCCGGGGAAAGTCTGAGACCCGCCAGTGGATTCTCGGATCAAGGCGGCCGAGAGAAGCCCCAGATGCACGTCCCTGATCCTGGTACTGGGTCGTTGATGTTCTGAAAAGAACCGACCCCTTTAGCGCTTGGACCAGAGCGCAGAAGGCTGCGAGCGGCGGCCCCTCCTCCGGCCTCAGTGTGCTCTCCACAGGCGCTGGGCTCGCAGGCCCTCAGGGCCTGGCCCGGACAACGCGCCCTCGACGCCGGCTGGCCCCTCTCTCTCCACCTCTCTGTGCCTCCCAGCCCAGGCCGCTTCCTGCGGCTCCACAGCCGGGAAGGAGGCTGAAAGGAAGCAGCGGAGCCTCCCGCGGCGGCCCGAGGCAGCAAATCCCATGGCCTACTCCGAGCCTCAGGTTGGGCCCCGCCCCCTCCCGGGCCACCACGACCGGCCGGGGCACTTCCCTGCAGAAGGGGCAGCAACGGCGCCTCCCCCTGGAGACGCCTGGAAAATGGTACTCCCCGGAAGTGACTTCACGGCTTCCTGGAGCGGCTTCCAAACCTAGCGGAAGTGACGGACGGAGGCTGCTGGTTCCCGCGACTGTGGAGGGCGAGGTGACCCCCTCGCGGGAGTGAGGTCCGGGCGCGCGGTAGTGGGAGTCCGTGGGAGGGTGGGGGCGCCGCCTGGGCGGGGAAGGGTGAGGAGCTCTGGAGAGGGCGTCTTGGGTCCAGGACGGCGCGTCCCGGGATTGAGGCAAGCGCCCGTCCACCCTCGGTCTTGCAGACGCCGCCGCGACCATGGGCCGCACGTTTGGGAATCTGACCCGCATGCGGCATGTGATCACCTACAGCTTGTCGCCCTTCGAGCAGCGCGCCTTCCCGCACTACTTCAGCAAGGGAATCCCCAACGTGCTCCGCCGCACGCGGGCGTGCGCCCTTCGCGTCGTGCCCCGTGAGTGCTTTGGCCCGGTTGGGGGGCTGGACTCCGGTTAGACACTGAGTGACAGCGGGCCCCTCATTGAGCTCCCTCTGCTTGCCACACACACGTTTTCCATTATTTCAGTGTTCCTGAAAGCCCTTGCACAAGTGTATCCTCCCCATCTCACAGAGGAGCAAACCGAGTCATGAACAGCGGGCCCAAGGTCACTTGTGTGATTCCAGCGTCTCCCTCTGAGGTCATCTTTACCCACTTCGTAGCGATGAACTGTTCTGTGTGAAATGGGTAGCAGATAGTGATGATAGTAATAGAGCATTGTGAATTGGCCAAAAACCCCCCAGAACCCCAAAGAAGTGTGCACTGGCGTGTTAAAGAGCGAAGTATATGTTACGTGCATTACATCTCATCTATCTCACTAACATTTTTTTAAAAAGATTTTATTTATTTATTTGACAGACAGAGATCACAAGTAGGCAGAGAGGCAGGCAGAGAGAGAGAGAGGAGGAAGCAGGCTTCCTGCTGAGCAGAGAGCCCGATGCGGGGCTCGATCCCAGGACTCTGGGATCATGACCTGATCCGAAGGCAGAGGCTTTAACCCACTGAGCCACCCAGGCGCCCCTCACTAACATTTTTTTAAATGTGCATCTGGGGAGAGAGAGGGAAGTTTTGGTGATGGATTTTTCTGGAATGGGCCGTCCTTTTGGTCACCTGTAAAATGGGAGTGTGGTGTAACCTTCCTTGATCATCTGGTTTAAAAGTGGCTTCTTGGAAACTAGAGACAGTAGGGCGGAGCCTGCAGTGAGTCAGAAAAGAAGACTGAGGACCCTGGTGTCTTCCATGGGCTTGCTACTTACTCTCACTTTTTATTTTTAAAGCGTTTGTAGGGTTTTATCTTGTCTACACTTGGGGGACCCAGGAGTTTGAGAAATCCAAGAGGAAGAATCCAGCTGCCTATGAAAACGACAAGTGAGCCATTCATCTGAATAGTGATTACCGGTGTATGAGGGACCCTTCTTTGGGAGAGGAGTCTACACTGTAGTGTCTTGAAGACGTAATAAACTACTTATGGACTGCACTGTTGTGATTTTGCATTTTTGTGAGCAAGTCCCTGGTGTGACTGCTGATGCTTAAGTTCATGACCTCCCCTTCCTAGCCTGAGTCCTCAACAGTTTGGCTGGTCTGCGAGTCTGGTAAAGGATCTGGACTCCGTGCTTGTTCTATAATCTACAAGAAATTAGCGGCATCTACTCCTGCAGCTTTTCACTTGTGTGTGGGATGAACTGTGGGGTTGGTTTCCAGTGGTCTCCCATAATAACAATAAGATTTTGGTAACTATAATTACTGTTTCAGGTACTTAGCTCTTTACACAAATAAGTACTTGTAAAACTTCACAACTACCTTTGAATTAGGTATCGTTATTGCAGTCGTTTTGCACATGAGGACCTGGGAGCGCAGTGAGAGTAAATAATTTGACTAAAATGACTCAGCTAATCAATGGTGGAGTCTGGCACTAAAGTTTTTGCTCTTAAAGCTATACTAGACTGCCTTTCCTGCTAAGACAGGCTTGCCTTAGCCCGAGGGGAAGGAAGTCAGCTATAAGAGGAGGGGGTGAGGGGCACCTGGGTGGCTCAGTGGGTTAAGGTCTCTGCCTTCGGCTCAGGTCATGATCCCAGGATCCTGGGATGGAGCCCTATGTCAGGCTCTCTGCTCAGCGGGGAGTCCGCTTCCCTTCCTCTCTCTCTGCCTACTTGTGATCTCTCTGTCAAATAAATAAATAAAAACTTAAAAAAAAAAAAGGAGGGGGTGAGGTCACCCCTTGGCCTCTAGAGCTAAACTGCCTGTGTTTGTACCAGGTTGGTAATAGTGGGCCATAATGCTAAAAATGTTTACTCTGGCCCTTTACTGAAAAAGTTTATCCCTGTTTTAAAGGCTTTAAATTATCTTTTTAGTAGAAAGCTACCCTTCCTCCACCTGGAGATGGTAGAGGTAGGTGTTGGTAGTTTTATGCTTCTGGTTCTCTGCTCCATTTTCAGAAATTTCCTCACTTCTAAGGATACTTGTTGCTTGTCCAGAGCAGTAACTTTTACAGTGTAGTTCAGCTTCTGGCTGTAATTTTTTTCTTATTCTAATGATTATTCTCATCTGTTAGGAACTGAAGTTAAATACTCAAAACAAACAAAAAAAGGTAATATAAATTGCATTGATTGGGAGGCAGCATAAAGAACCTGAGTCTGGTGAATTTAGGCCCACACCCTTAACCTGTGCTGCTTCAACTGTATGATACAAGAAAGAAACGTGTGTTCCTGAGCTTTGACCTTTTTGTTGTAAGACGATGTATTAATACAAAGCCATAGGGTGTGGTAATGGTGGAATGAGTGATCTGTAGGAGTCTGGCAGGCTTAACAGAGAACAACTACGATGAAAACTGCCTCGGGGCGCCTGGGTGGCTCAGTGGGTTAAATCCTCTGCCTTCGGCCCAGGTCATGATCCCAGAGTCCTGGGATGGAGCCCCACATCGGGCTCTCTGCTCAGAGGGAGCCTGCTTCCTCCTCTCTCTCTGCCTGCCTCTCTGCCTACTTGTGATCTCTGTCAAATAAATAAATAAAATCTTAAAAAAAAAAAAAACTCCTGCTTCACCCAACATGGTCCAGTTTTCCTGGGCTCTCTGTATTTGTTCTCAGGGTTTGTTACATGTTTGGGTCATAGACTGTTGAGGATCCGATGAAGCTGTGGACCTGAAGATGTAAATGCATCACCCATCCTTCATTCTACATAGTTTTTGTTTTTAAGATTTTACTTATTTGAGAGGGAGAGTACAGGGTAGGGGGCTGGTGCCCAGTGGCGAGGATCAGAGGGAGAAGCACACTTCTCGCTGAGCAGGGAATCTGACATGGGACTCTGTCCTGGGACTCGGATCATGTCCTGAGCCAAAGCCAGGCATTTAACCAACTACATAGTTTGAACAGCACCAGCGAAAGCTACTTCCTTGACAGGCCTTTCATCTGTCTTTCTCCCTCTGGCTAGCCCCAAGCTTTGAGGAGATGGCTACCCTCTCCCATCTTCTTGGCTTCATTTTACCACAAGACTTTATTTCTTTCTGTTCCTTGGCTCCTTTGGATATAACAGCTGAAAAACAAATGTACCCTTTCTCAGCTCAGGTCAGGTGACCAGGCACCAAGTATGGGTCTGAATCCTTTCTATCCCAGGAGCGCTCTGAGAAGACCCTGATGTAAGCCCGGTTACCTGCTGAGCTGCCTTTGAAGAAAATTATGAAAGTCTGCTGTAAGCCTGTCTCTCCCCAAAGGGCTTACTTCTCTATGCTGGGGGGCACAGAGCCCTGTGTAGCAGGGTGCTGAGGTAGGTGGGGAGGCTGGAATGTGGTGAGTTGTATAGCTCAGTGCTCCTGTATGTGCCATGGGATCTGGGATGATTTTTTTTTTTAAGATTTTATTTATTTATTTGATAGAGATCACAAGTAGGCAGAGAGGCAGGCAGAGAGAGAGAGAGAGGAGGAAGCAGGCTCTCTCTGAGCAGAGAGCCCGATGTGGGGCTCGATCCCAGGACCCTGGGATCATGACCTGGGCCGAAGGCAGAGGCTTTAACCCGCTGAGCCACCCAGGTGCCCCGGATCTGGGATGATTTTAGGGACCATTCTGTCTGCCAAAATCTACAAAGAAAAGGGAAACATGAGTGAAATCTCTCAAGGAAGAAAGGGACCACTGCTGTGGGCCACAATGCCGGTAACCATCCACATGGAGTCTCCAGCCCTGGGTGTGGCGCCTTCCTCTGCTTCCAGGGCACAGCCACTCATTTCACTCTGCTGTCCTCAGCGGGGCCCTACCCCCACCAGGGCTTTTATCTCTGCGCTGTACAATGTGGCAAAGTGGACTCCAGGTTGCCAACCAAGTCCCAGAGATGTAGGCCTATCTAGTGTAGGCTGTGAAGTCTGTGCCAGGTCCAGCCCCAGAAAAGCAAATACACTTTGACCCTTGCAGTTTTACCTGGAAGTTTCTCCATTTCAGAGTCTTTCATTTTTTATTAGGCACATCCTACTCAGGGACAGCAGAAAAGTCTCCAGTTACTGCCGAGCCTTCATGGTCTCCTCTCCCCCTGGAATGTATTTCAAACTGCTCACGGAGTTACACCCACTTTCTCCCATTTCATCCTCCGCACTTAACCTCAGCGGTGGAAAATCCCTGGGAGTTGTTACCAAGCAATCACTATCAAACATGCTTCTCATTTTCTTCCTGTAAATTAATCATTTGAACCCCCAAATGTCAGTGGCTGAGAGGCCTCAGCCATCTCATTGGGAAAACAAAAGAATAAAGCTCTAAGAGAAAGGGTTGGCGTGTGGTTAGTTAATGTAGAAACCCCGCTCCTGCCTCCCAGCCAAGTGTTCTCTCTATGGCTAAAATTAGTAAATGCTGCTTAGACCTTTTTGCTGGAAGAAGGAATATGGAGTTGTGTGTTTATTCATTCAGCGAAATACTTGACTGTAGAGAGCCCATGAATTTTTAAAAATTATTAATTTCAGGAGTAGGATTTCACAACTATTCAAGGACTGTGGGATGGCTGTGGACAATTGTCTGGATGCCACTTCACTTTCAAAACTGATTTTTGCTCCATGGCTGATTTAAAACAGTGACAGAGGTAATGTAGACATACGTTGAAATATTTTTCCTGAGATGCCGGGGGGGGGGGGGGGGTTCAGTCGGTGAAGCATCTGCCTTCGGCTCAGGTCGTGGTCTCAGGGTCCTGGGATTGAGCTCTGCGTCCTGCTCCCTGCTGAGCAGGGAGCCTGATTCTCCCTCTGCCTGCCGCTCCTCCTGCTTGCTCTCTCTCTGTATCTAACAACAGCAACAACAAAAAAAGAAATATTTTTCCTAGCAGTAGTCCCTTCCATGGGCAGTAACTGATGGGCTTTTTTCTTTAGGGAGGAGAAGTGGCATACAAAATTAGAGGCTCAAACCCTAAAGGCTTCTGCAGTGTTGTCACATTCATGTTGATGAATGGTTAATTTTTTCCCCTATGCACACTGGAGCCTCAGGCCCTTTCCTTGGCTGGGGTACTGGCTGTGTAATAAATTAACACAAAAGGCTAATTTGATTTTGCTTGCAGTAGCGGGAGGCAGAAATGGAGGATTAGGAGAAAGTACCCGTGTTTGGAACTAGCAGTTTCCAAATCCCATTTGGCATATCCCTCTCTTAAGAACAGGCTGGCACCGAGGCCACACCAGACCCAACTGTCTCTAGGACATCACGTTGTTCAGTCTCTTGCTTATCTAATCAGGTTTGTGTTCTTACCAATGTTCACTAGGTCATCACATAGCTTCTTCCCCACCCCACAGAGGTTCCTAGTTAAGCCCCTACATGGGGCGATTCAACATCCAAGCACAGGTGTAAAGGGAAGGAGCAGCTGACTAGTCTGCTTCTCCATGTTCCTCAAGTGCAAGCAGTGGTGTCTCCCTCTGGGCTTGGCTCCATGGTCCTTAATTGACCAGAACCAGGACAGACAGATCTGTGGAGTCACACCCCCATCTTCCCGTTCCAGTTCTGAGGTTCACCTTACCACTCTCTTCTCCCTTGACAAGAGGATTGGTGACCATCCTGTTCCACCTTCAGCTGAGCCTCATCTCCTCCACTCTAACTTGTGGAACATGCAGGCTCAAACCAAATATCCAACCCCTGAAAATGATACAGGCCTTGGGAAGAGGCATCAGTCACTTTTTTACAGAGACACCAGTCAGAGAAATAATCTTGTTACCTTCGTCTTATTGGCTCATCCTTCCAGTCATAGGAAGCTCTTAAGTCCTATAATTCATACTCAAAAGTTAACACTATTCCCCCAAATTTATGAAAATGCCCAGGTCATTTAATGATTACCCACAATACCTCACAACTTAGGCACATGCCCTTTCTTGTTCTAGTGATCTGCAATAGTTCCTACTTAAGTTGATGAATGTTTTGGGCTCTAGCGACATCTCCGTGCTTGGTCTGTTCCCCTGAAGCTGCTGGAAGGCTATGCTCTGCAGAAGGACCTAGTCAACTACTGTGAGGAAAACCCATTAATTCAAAGATTGCAGTGTGATTTGTCACCACCGTCAGGCAATCCCACTGGCTTAGGAGCCCCTGCTAACACTTCATTCACACATTTAAAAACAAAACAAAAAACCTATATTCCATTCTATTCAACCACAGTTCAAGTCCTGCATCGGTATCGATTGCCTTTGCCCTGGGAGAAGGCAGGTAGGCTAGACTTTGAACTTGCCACAGCTTGGTCCATTCTTCTAGGGAGATGATCTGGAGCAGGAAACTAGGACAAATCATCTATGAAGAAGGGGGATCTGGGGCATTGTTGGGTCACACTTGCTGAAGCAACTTCCCACAGAAGGGAGGTAAGGGCCTTATCCAGTTGCCTGTAACACCAGATTGTTGCTTCTTTCCCAGACAAGGTTGAAAGGCATCAACACGAAGACCTCACTATGAGACTTCTATTTTGATTACAGTGATCTCACTGAGCTATTTTGGAATCAAAATGTGGCTAGGTGCCTGGTTTCCCTCAGTGGCTTCACGTGGCTTTCGAAGGGAAGGAGGGGTTGGTGCTGACTTTTGGTAAAAGGGTCCAAGCCAGCAACATAATCACTCAAAGTCCAGATGAGGGATCAGTAAATACAACGTGCCTGAAAGGCAGGCCCTGAGCACATTCCTCTGGTAGACATTAACTTATTAAATCGACCCTGACTGCAAATATAAACTTTGCCCCCATCTCACCTGGCAACCATAAAAGAGATGAATTTCAGCCTATAAAAGCAAGTGGGAACTGTTGCTGGATTCCGGGCTCCAACAACCTCCCTCCGGCAAGATGCGGCACCTCAAGCTCTTTGCAGTGCTCATGATCTGCTTGCTGCTGTTGAACCAGGTAGGAAGTGGACGTGCAGGAACTGTGCTGGTGGGGAAATTGTAAGCAGACCTTGAGAACGGGACTCAGCCCTGAGGAAGGGTCCCTCTGCTCTGGAGTCTACAGCATCATTCGCCCAAGGTGTGCAGATGGGTGTCAGCGCTTCCATACCTGAGGTTAATTTGTCTTTGCCCTACAGGCAGATGGCTCCCCGGTACTGGAACTGAGTTCAACAAAGAGAAGGTCACGGAGAATGACCCCGTTTTGGAGAGGGGTCTCCCTCAGGCCCATTGGATCCTCTTGCCGGGACGATTCTGAGTGTATCACAAGGCTATGCAGGTATTCCACAAACTTGAGCGCAGGCCGAGGAAGGATCAGCACACACACTTACCTAAGAATAAAAGTGGAACAGGCGATTGCCTGGGTTGTAGCCTGGAGCTCCCTGGTGAATCCCTCGGGATTCAAGAACCAAGAACAGCTCCACACAGGTACCACTAGAGTGGTTCCTTTGCTTTCTGCAGTTTACCCCGAGGTTGGCTAGAGCAAGCAGAGCAAGGAATGTGAAGAGGTGACTGGCTCTGGGCACTGCTAGACCTTTGTCTTAAAAACCACCCTTTCTTTTCCTTTAGAAAAAGACGCTGTTCCCTAAGTGTGGTCCAGGAATGATGTACAAACCAGGGGAAAAGAGGACAGTGCTCACCTACAACAATGCTCCGTTCTATGGAATATTGATTAACTGCATTTTGGCTGGAGACACTTAAGTGAAGCAGTCTTGTATTCTTAATATTTAAAGACAGATGTACGCTTTAAACTGGTCTCCGTTTCTTCTTAGAATGTTATGTAGATAAGCATTACTAAACTTGTCAATTTAGAGTTTATTTTTCTATGTATACTATTAAATGTCTCAAAATTTTTGCAGTCTGGAATTCAAACTTTTGAGGGTTTGAAAAGAGTTCATTTTGTATGCTACGGAAAAAAAAAAAAAAACAACCCAGCATTGCCTAAGAGCAGACTTCGCAGTCTGTAAAAGCACAGTGAAAGTGAACATTTAAGAAACAAAGAACACGATGAGATGCTGAAAGACAAGTTTCCTAATAGCCACGTGTTTAGCCTTGGCAAGTTCACATGCTGTGGCCCTGGCCCTGATCCTAGTCCTTCACTCCGTGTCAGAACTCTTCAGTGAGTTGTTAGAGATGGACTGGCATTTGTGACCTGATGATGTGCCCACATTTGTCTAGGACTTAACTGAAGGCAGAACTGGAAGAAGAATCTAGTTTAATAAAACAATAAAAACCCAAGCCCCCAAGAACAGCAGAAAAGACTTTTTTGGATTTCTGCTGGAGGAGGGCAAACTGATCTATGCAAAAGGATGCATGGCCATCAAGTGCAGAATTTCTGTAATCAGGAAATGAGAGCTGGACTGGGGGTCCAGATTTTTCAGGCAGAGTAGCAGTGGACACTAAGGTACAAAACAGAAATTACATTGAAAAGGCAAAGTAAGAGTTGAAGAAGTTTAAAGAGCACAGTGTTTATAAACTTTAATACAGAAAATCTATTTGATATTTATTAAACTTAGTTTCTCCAGCTATGGTTTGGCATTATACAAAGCATCTTAATGACACAGTAGAGTTAAAAAGATCTTTACAAATTGAAATGTGATACCCTTGTCTCCAAATATTTTAATTGCCATAAATTTGTTTAAAAATACACATTAAACGCATGTTTGACACTCTAAACTTTCTATAATCTCAATACCACAAAATACATATAATATACTATACAGATGTGGAAAAATCTAATTAGTATATAATACTTTGCTCACCATTAACAGCTTTATTATGTGAAATGCACATACTTAGAAATCCTAGCTTTTGAGCCCCAAAGTACCTCTGAAATTTTAATGTATTGCAACAAATAAAAATCACAGTATATAATTGAAATTTTGGTTGAAAATGTCAGATGCCTAAATATTTTGGATAAAAGAAATGTAAAACAAAGATTTGGATCATGTACAAAAACAAAGGCATCCTATCAGACACTAACAGTACCTTTCTGCAAAATCAACAAGGCTTTTAATTTATCAGCGGCATTACTTCCCCTCCAAAACCCTCCCCAAATATCAAACCGTTATTCAGCAAATAATTTTAATTTCAAATAAAAGGATTCAATAAATATATAAGCATTTCCATCCTCCATATACAAAATTTCGTAAAACCATTCAAAACGGAGGCTAGATAGAAATTTTCATAACCGTGCTAACCGTGCTAACCAACCTCACATCTGGTCCTCCAAAGTAGTGCCTTTTCAGGCATTGCCAATTGGGCCAGCTCTGGTGGTGAGCCCCGCCCCGCTTCACCCTAACCCCAGTACTGTTGAATGCTCATGTCAATGACTTGCCAGGTGTGTGCATAAAGTTATAAAATGGGGACACTTCTTGAACAGCAACAACAAACTCAACAGTATGGATAACCATGGCAGAGATGTGAAAGGCAGCATTTCCAAACATATTTTCCAGGGAGGAACATAGCAGGTGGAAAATTCCAGTGGTTAAAAGCTGAAAAGAAACCCCACGTGTAAGCGGTAACAGGTCAAAACTGCAGATTACTAGAATTTCTGGGTGGGAGCTTTTCTTCCCCATGCACATTTAGAGAGCTTTTTTGTTTCTTTTTTTAAGGATGGCAATTTATGCTTAGCTGAGCAATGGTGGCACAGAGAGGTCAATGCTGACATTCCTAAAGTCAGTTTCATTACATAATGATTGCTTTTAGGCTGCTATTTCAGGATACTTAAACATCGAGAAGACTCAGTTTAGACTTAACTATAATGCCTTATTCAAAAGGAAGAGGTGGAGAGATTTTTCCATTGCTTTTCTAGAGAAAGTGACTTTTTAACTAACCATGCGGTTCAAATGAAGAGAATCAGCATGTGCTTTACCTACTAGTAATAACTTACTTCTGGTCACTTGCCAGCTTGATTCTAAGGTCTAGAAGTCTAAACTGAATTTCTCCATCACGGAGTATGTGAAAGATAAGCACGCAAAAGACATGACCAATGTGGCCTCTTCCTCTACATATTCCAAATCATTTGACAATTTTCTCTTTATTTTACTGGATAGCAACCTTAGAAGTGCAGTGTTATTTGTTTCTGGAAAAATGTCTGCCTCTCTCAACACATTAATATGTAAAATCAAAATGAAATCTGTGCTCCACATAATTAGGAAATATGGGTGATAGGAGTCTACATGGATGTGAAATGCTTTGCTTCCCAACTTACTTAAAGAAAAAAATCATCACAATCTGCCTAAAACTGTCATTCCCATTAGATGTTCCTGGGACCCAGAGGCAAACTCCTAAAATTCAAAATACATAATGAGGCCATTTTATTCAATTAGCAACTGGAAAATTAAAATCCTTCCCACCCTGTAAGAGCCCTATTATACTACAGAAGGGCTCAAATATATTTTAAAAGTTAATTTACTACAAATCATAGTAATTAAGCTTTAACAATCTAAAAGGAATACACATTGCACCCCTGAACATTAATATTCAAGGTGTCAACAAGAAAGTGTCTTAGATCAATTTAATAAATAATGTGGAAATAGTTGCACTAAGCTAAAATACTAAACACACACATTGTTGACAAACTAATTTCATGTTTTCATACATACATACATATATATAAAGTGTGTATGTGTACATAATTTTAAAATCCAAAGCTGCATACCCTCACACCTAGAAGAGTGCACAGTGTACCTCTCCTCTGCACAATCAGGCATCACTGACTGGAGCGACCACTGGCTGCTCTGAAACTCCAGGGTGCTGCCAGCCTCCAGAACCAGAACTTTCATTTAGAACAGGTGCCTTCCGTAGGCTCTTGCTTCACAATGCAAGCTCACTCAATGAAGTAAGTTCCCAAAGTTTCTGTCATTAAATACAAAATGATGCTTGTCTGATTTAGCTGATTAACCTTTCTTTAATAAAAAGAAACGAACAACAATTAAAAAAAAAAAACCAACAACAACAGTGAATCTAATAAAGCCACAAGTGAATGCAAAGTGAGGCCCAGATGCCTATGGACCCGCCAGTGGGAGAGCTAGCCAGAGCACAGGCATGTTGGGCACATGCACACATTACTCTACACCACCTTTTCACTGTAGAATTAAATCAGGAGATGGTCAACCTTCTCCACTCTTCAGCAACTATAGCTGAAGATTTATCTGGAGTACTCATCGCTTTTAAAGTTAGTTCTTGGCTACTTGTCCAGGAAAAGGTGGCACTGAAGCAAGAAACAGGCTGAACGCTCCCAGCAAGACTGGACCCAGGCTGGACTGTGGCGGGTGGATCACCTGGAGGGGAGTGCTCCCCACAGCCTAGCCCAGGCTGGGCAATATTACCACGTGACTTCATCCACTGTTCACTGGCTGCCTGTGAAGAGTCCAGGGGCGTAGGCTGCTGCCTCCTGGCATACAAGTGTGGTCTTAAAAAGCAGTCAACAGAGTGATTTTTTAAATAGCTGCTATTTCTATAATTAACTATATATTAAGTACAAGTCTCAGACTAAGTAAGTTTTTAGCCACTTGTCAAATTCAGTTTTAAATGGTCAGAGAACAGTGAAGACACCTATTGAGGAAGGAGGAATGGTGGCCTACAAAGGGAGTCCAAAGTATGCACTGGAGCAGATGAAGACACAGAAAACTTTTGAGGAGATGGACACAGAGGAAAGGGAGTGGTGTTTCCATAGACTATGACATTGAAAATTCAATTATTTAGGACAGGATTTTGATCCACTGCCCGTTACCACCTGGTGGGAAAATCCCTCCACAATGAAAAGCTTGAAAAATTTATTCCCAAAGAATTAACACAGTTCCAGAGAGAAAATTAACTTAGAACAGCACCATAAAACATGCAGGAAACTATATTTTAACAAAATATCAGTGTGACCCCAGAAACACTCCTGCTGCCTTTCAGGACACACAAGAGATTAGAATACACTGGAACTCAGAGGTGCCCTGCTCGCTGCTATGGCTGAAAGCTTTATCCACTTCTAAGACATCACTGCAAAGTAAGGAATCAGAGTAAGAGCAATCAGAGGACAGGACATACAGCTACTTGATCAACAGGGTCAAGTCTCTCATCGAGTAACTACCCTAATCACTGAGAAGTTGTCCTCTTAAGGAAAACTGTTCCTAAAACATACTAATAAGTTAGAGCAAGATTTCAGAGGCAATGTCTCCAAGAGAAAAAGATTAATTTCAGCATAATTTCTGGATTCTAATCCCCAGCGACATGCAAAAATCACCTGAGGTACAGGGCAGTTAAAAAGTTCTGTAAATATGAAGCCACAGGACAACGAAGGTTCATTAGCTTCAGAAATAAATGTAAAAAAGACTCCTATACAGAGGATTCACCGCACCACTTGCTTGGGAGATGTTCTATCCTTTCTTTCCCACTTAAAACCTTAGCAATCATCTATAAACAGCAGTGCAATCTTCTTTTCTGATTGGATGAATTCAGTTTTGGAATGGGGAGAAAGACAAACAATTTTTTTGGAGCAGCCATTACCCAATTAGACTAAGTCATGTACCAAAGCATTAGCTTTTCTAAACTAATTCATCTTTATGTGACCCTAAAGGAAGATTAATAAAGAAAGAGAACTGAACATTACTACTGCCAAAGACCAACCATACTGGGTGATCTGGTCCTAGTGTAAAATATCTGTAAACAATCCATAGAGTTTTCATTCAAAGGTAAGATTTAAGGCACACCAGACATGATAGGGACACATGACAGGGGCATGACAGAGGGTACATTTCTCACCTTTGACTCCGATATGCACCTTACAGGGAAAGGTACTTTGATATACAACTCTTACAGAGCTGGCTTAAGCGCTACCCTTGCTCCCCTCCCCTTCCCTTCCCAAGAGAGCTAACACTGAACCAAATTAGGAACTTTTCTAGTGTGAATTTTCT